GTACTGCTGATGTGGCCCCTGACATAGAGCATTATTGCTAATATATATATATGGATATAGGGGATATATACTGGCGGGCCAGATTTGGCCCCCGGGCCTGAGTTTGACACGTGTGATCTATGACATCACTCAAATACTTGCCCTGGGACGGCTGAGAAACTACTTAGAAATACGCTCTCTTCCTCCAGTACCTGTCTTAGCTGAACATGGTCGGCCTGAGCTGCTGTGTTGTACGCTGGTCGTACCAGACAATTGATGTTACAAGTTTGAGACTCACTGCTCTGGGAAAAATGACAGAATCTGGGAAAGAAGATGAGCGTTGGTGTGAATCCCAGCTGGAACAACAGCTTTCATCTGCTGCCGGAGAGAAAAACGAATCCCTCAAAGTTCACTCGCATTTCAACCAAATCAGATTTCTGATTGGTCCCTGTTGCGTAACACAGGGACATAAATCGTCCTAATCATTATCAAAGGGCTGTTGCATAAAAGAAGGAAAGTCACCACATGAAATTTCAATTATCAACATGCTCTGATCTGTCTCTGGCTTTTTTCTTCTTCTTGGCTCCTCCATAAAAATTAACCAATCACAGGCCCCGGCCTCATGCTTCGACACATATTGACATATGGGAGGTCTTATCGTCAGCGGCCCCTGACTGCATGCCTGCTGGATGTGACTTGTTGTGGAATCTCTGCATGATGTCATCCACAACGTGTGGAATTCGTACAGATCCTGAAGATGGTCTTCAGAAAGTAGTGAAAAAGTTGACATTGGAGTCCTGTGGCAAAAGTGTTCGTCAGCTCCCTTTCTCAACAAACACTTCAGCAAAACGTCGCCGTCACAGAAACATCAGCACGCCCGGCTGCACGTACACAAAGGCCGATGTTTGGCGTAGAGAAAAGGCCGTGTCCTTCACGTTGTGTTCCTCTTTGTGCGTTTGTGTGCAGAGCGGGGAGGAAATACCTGCTCCTCGCTGGTCTCTTTAAATACTCACCCCGGAATATGTTCCCATTATCTGTGGAGAACAAGAGCAACCTCCAGAAAATGTCACAGGCTAAGGTAATAGCTATTCACTCAGGGCCTTTGATGCAGTCATTTCCTCCCCGTTCTGCTTTCTTTACCGTGTCAGAGGTCACCTCTCAGGCCCTCCGCACAACCACAACAGGCTCGTATACCTCCCTCAGGCACAAACATACGCCGAAGCCTCATTTATAGATCTCTCTCTGCCTGTCACACTTGTCAGGAAGTGGCAGAATTTACCTTCCACGCGAGCGGGTTTAAGTCCAGCTTCAAGTCCACGATTACGAGGTTGCCACCGCCGCGTAAAGACGACTCGCACTGCTGCGTTCAGGTGGATGTTCCTGTGTAGTTTGTGTGTAAATTAAATGCAGATGTTGAAACAAATCCCTGCCAGGAGCCGTGACTCTTTAATGATTATTTATCCAAACAGAGCACGGTGCCAGAGTTTATGGAAAAACTTCAGAAACAAAACATCTCAGGACACTGAGGTAAGATGTAGGTCAGGGGGGAGTTAGTATGAAATAACCAACCGGAGACTCTTCATTCGTGAGCAGCGTTTGCACGCACTTAGTCGAACCCTGCAGCCGTGTGTCAGGCTGTCCTTTAAAATCACATGGAAACCATTTTTAACTAACAACCTTCGAGTGTTTTTGTTGGGAGCTTTTGTAACGGTGGAGTTTAACCTTCGAGTGTTTTTGTTTGGAGAATTTTCATGTTGGGAGCTTTTGTAACGGTGGAGTTTAAATGATTTTTTTTTTCCTCTTCGCATTAGCTTTGTCGCATGTTTAACAGCTAACGTGTTCGCAGCTGTTATCGCAGAATCTCAACAATAATCGTTTTGTAATTACAAGCGGACAACTTTTTATTTGACACGGCATTAATCACCCCCCCAAGCATGATGTCACGGGCCGCGTTGGATGACATCACTCGCACGCCGCACCCATAATCCACTTCCAAAAAACTTGGAAGCGCATCAGTGCAGTTCGTCACCACAGGGACTCATTAATTTCCTGGATTCCGTTCATTGAGTTTCCCGCGGGACTGTGTGGGTTTGTAATTATTTTTTAAAAACGATTAAATCGCACACATCCAAGCGTTCACGGTCGGATTGTAAATTTTGCATGTTTAATTATGGCAGAAAAACAAAAATAACAAATCAAATGACGGTTGTATATTATTATTCGTCACATCTTCCTCGACTGTTTAATCATTTTCAGGGCTGTGAGGAGACGAGTGTGTCCACCACAGGGACAGTTACAGGATATTCACACTCAATGTTTATTTTGGAGCGGTCAGTCAGTGGTCAGTGGTCAATCTAGTCGTGTGTTTTTGGGACTGTGGGAGAAAATAAAGTGAAATAAAAAGCCACCTGCACAAACAAACCACGAATCAGTTATGATACTCTGCTCCGACACCTTCACAGCTGTTGTTTCACAATTCCACTGAGCTTTACTCTAAACACTGTAATTCTAAAAAAAAACAACACTGAAGTAAAGAAAAAAAAATCGGAATTAAAGTCACTTAAAAAACGGAATTAACCTGCCACCCATTTTGAGAACCACTGCTTTATGGCAAGAGTTTAAACCATTGAATTACTATAAGGCCAGGTAGAAAAATAGATTTAGGAATTCTCTAAAAAAAAATTGATAAAAAAATAACTTGACATGGTTTCTAAAAAGTTTTATACTTTTTTACATATTTTTATCACTTCCAGGAGTGCGACAGCGTAGCAGTAGTGTTGCCACCAACGCCAAAAGAGATAATAAAAATATACAAAACAATAATGTATGTGAGTAAAAATAACAATCAGCCTCAGCCTGCGCGTTGTCACGCCTGAGTGAACTTCAGAGGCCGCTGTTCAAGTCTAAACACTGTCATTTGTAACAGTAGAGAGGTTCACTGACCTCAGTGACACGGGTTAATCTGTGGCTAACGGGGGAAACCCCTGAGGCTCAGGTGTGCAACACCTGTGCTTTGGTGTAACCGCTCTGCACGTGAGAGTTGCTAACCCTTCATCACCTCCTCACCCACCACCCTGCTCCCCCTGCTGCTCCCCCTGCTGCTCCCCCTGCTGCTGCTCTTGGAGTTCATTCCCAGGACCTTGTGAGGAGACCAGGACTCATCAACACTCGAACTCAACCCTGCGTTTTTTTCTTGCTTACCGGTCTGTTCCCTCTGTGTCGACGTTTCCTGCTTCCTGTGTGTGCGTTTCCTACAAAATAAGACAAACAAACTCCAGTTTGACATGCTGTTTTTTTTAAATATTTTGGTTAATTACAGGAAATAGCAGAGTTTGAACCACTGAACCACCGGCCGGTCCATGACAGAGCCACATACTGAAACTATAAACCCATAAAAAACGAATGGATTTTGATAAAGACGCTGCCCTTTGACCTCTGAGTATCGGCGTCATCAGTTCAGGTCTGACGGCTTTTCTCTGTAGATTTTTCCGTGTTCTTCGGTTTATGACTCTTCCTCTCTCCCGCTGCCTTCATGTGCGACAGTGAACCCACAGTCTTGACAACATCATAACCAGGTTGACCTGTGGAAAGTAGGAGAAGGTTTCCAGGATCTTGTCGTAGAGATAAGATTGTGATGTCACTGGTGGACTTTTGACGGCACTAAAGCAATACAGCCTGGTTATATTCAAAACCTAAGGACATTGAATGTAGTTGTTCAGTGATATACGTATGTGACCTTTGTGTGTATGACTGGGTCACAGGGGTCAGTGAGGGAAAGGGTTCATTTAAAGTGAATAATCAACCACAGCCTATTTGCATTTTTGTTTTTACCTGGAGAAATAGAAGATGTAAAGTACTACAGGATGACTATCAGTTACTGCCAGGATTTGTATCAATGTTCTTCTATAAGGCAGGTGCACTAGCCACTCAACCACCATGCGGCCCCCCATCGTCACCAAATAAATAAAATAATCTTAGACAAACTGAAGCAGATTTAATTTGTTTTTCAACTTGTGTTTAAACAGGTTTGTTGATTATATCAACAATTATTTGTTGGTCTACAGCAGGGGTGTCAAACATACGGCCCACGGACCCAAACCGACCCACTTGGGGTTTCAAATCCGGCCCGTTTGAACCCAAACCGACCTGCTTGGGGTTTCAAATCCGGCCCGTTTGATGAATTTTGAAAATAAAAAAAAAATACATATAATATAATAATAATTATATTAATAAATATTAATATATTTATCAAATGTACCTTTATGCATGTAAACAAAGGCGAAAAGACAGACTTTTTGTTATTATAGGTAATTCTGTTACGACTGTACTGGTCCGGACCACATGACATGGACCAAAATGAGTTTGCCAGCCCTGGTCTACAGACATAAGACAGTCCAAAGTAACAGACAAAGGGACAATCAGGTCTGTTCTCCTGGATACAGCAGCAGCTAAAAGGCTCGTCACCGTGGAGAGGCGCTGACGACAAGTTCCTTTGGATTCAAACGAGTCGCAGCTGCAGCTCCGTCCTTGTGTCCCCCTCGCTCATCGTCGCTCTCCACCTCAAATGACGGGGTCTGTGCAAACAGAGCGGTCTGTCATTTGCAGGAGTGTGCCTGTGTGTTTGCTGAGCATCAGCTCTTCAGCCCCCCGCTGCAGACGTGAGACAGTTTGACTTTGTCATCTTGGTTTAATTAGAAGGGTAAACCCGGCCAAATTTGTCGGCCCCCTCTCTCCGTCCTCTTGGGCTCCTCTGTCACCGTTCCCTGAATAATTGCCGACGTCTTGAAGGGTCAGGGCTGAGTCCACCGCCTCAAAGAACTTTCAATTAATGAAGTTAAACCCCCGGCCTAACTGAAGGCCTCTAAACAGCCCTGAATGAAATGAGCTGACCACGTCGTGCCGAGGGGCTCGCCTTCGCCTCCGGGGGCCTGAAGGGTGACTGAGCAGGATACAATGAAGTGGGGAGATTATCTTTTGTTGTAGTGACAAGTTTTGAAGCTGAGTAGAGGGGTCAGCAGTCTTTTGAGCTCACCTGGGAAAGTGGCAATTTAGTCAATCCCTGTCTTAGAAATGAAAAACAAAGTCTCTCACACACTTGATAATCCACTCAATCCCACTATGATTTCAGCTCTCTGTCCCCCTTTTTTGGCAGTTTCACACGCCTTACTTCTGAATTAACCTGTTCATCACTTCAGACAAAGGCAGCCCTTTGGGGCTGTTAGAGTCTGTGCCCTTCCCCCCCGGTCGCCCCCTGAAGGCAGAGACAAATAAACTCCCCCTGTGATTTCTCAGCGGGGGACGTCAGCGGTGCAGAGTCGCTGATTTGGTTCTCGTGTCATTCAGCCCAAATACATGGGAACCCTCGGCCGTCCCTCGGCTCAAAGTGTGACTTCTCTCTTCTACCGTAAACAACACGAGAACATATGGCCGACATGTGGAGCGTACCTCACAGGAAGCCCGCCCCTGCGCCGTACGAGTTCAACTTCTCAATGGGAGCAAAATCAGACTCCTGCGTAAATGTGGTATTGATTAGATGCCAAGCCAAATACGGCCCCCGATGTTTTGATGGCAGCGGGAAAACAGCGCCGGCTCCTTTGTCTGATCTCCACATCTGTCGCTAATAGCAACCACATACACGGCGTTTCAAGACTATAATCAATTTTTATGTGAATTCCCACTGTTGCCGCGGCTGGAAAGTGCCAGATCCGGGTGGCGCTGTCAGGTAGAAATGTAACTGTCAAGGATGAAAAATGAAGGTGAAGACATAAGTCCTGACTGATGTGTGGACAGACGGAGACGTACAGTATGTCTACCTGTAACCGCAGTGAATCAGCGCCGCCTACTGCTGAGTCAGAGCTGCGAGTGGCGGCCGGCCGGGGCAGACAGCCACGGTGATCTAATTTCCTTTAACTACACTGGGGCTCATTGGGGCCAGTGTGTGTGTGTGTGTGTGTGTGAAGCTATTTTACTTCCTCTGTAATCACCAAATCGTAGAGCCCACCTGGGGGCTGCAGCCTGTTTGTTTAGGCATACATTTTCCATGATGTCATTTCCTGTACTCACTCACTCATTTTTGGTGATACAAAATATCTTACAGCGTGTTGAATAAATAAAAAAAGAACTATTTTTTTTAATTGTAAATGTGAAGAAGAAAAATCACTGCAGTTATGCAGGTGAAGTCACAATAAACGTACGAAGGTTTAGGTTACATTGTTGTGGCTCCTGAAGCCAAACAAGAGAAACACAGGAAGTTTACTCTGAGCTTCCACGTATTGTGTTTCTCTCTCTCTCAACTTCTGAATTTTATCCTGAAACTATAGGACTGTACGTCCGACTGATCAGAGGGAAGCTGTGGATTCATAATGATTCATCACGATTAGTCGTGATGAATCAAAATAAAACATTCCTGAATATAACTTCTTTTTTTGCCTGAACATAAAGATAAATAACAGCAGGTACCAGGTGGAGCAGTGAAGCAGTAGCTCCCACAAATGCATGCTGGGTATTGAGATGGTGTTTTAAGCTAACGTGTGTATTGACGTTGTGTTATAGCTATGATAAGCGGATGGACAATGGTGTGAAGAGTATGTGGGATTATGCTTCATATCAAAATGTTGATAAAATGTTTATATAGAAATGAATTCAAACTCGGCCCCCTGGTGGCAAATGTTGGTAGAACGCTTGCCTCTACAGCAACATGATCACTGGTGTGCAAGTCCACTCCAACTACTCCAGCTTCCTCCCACAGCCCAAAAACATGATGGTTGATCTGACACGACCAGCCCTCACCCATAGATGGCTGGGATTGGCTCCACTGCCCCCTGAGGCCTCGAAAGGGATTAATGGTAGCTAATGAATAATGAATAATAATAAAGTTTAAAATTTTACCTATAAGGTCTATACTTTATATTTTACATTTAAGAATTGACAAGCAGACCTCATCGTTTTACACTTTTGTTTTTGAGTAACATTTCAAGTTGGCCCTCCCTTCGCCTCAGCTCACTGTCTGAAGCCATTTTTGTCCCTGACTCCCTTCAGCCAGGTTTGTTATTGTCTGCTGGTCAGAATCAAGACCATCATTTCCAAAATACACAGCAATTTGCCAGCAAAATAACCGGCTTCTACTGGCCATTTCAAATAAATCACCTTAAGCTCCTCTGACACGGCACTGGCTAGACGGTCCCTAATAAATGCTTCACACACAGCCGGGGATCACAGTTGCCACTTCAGACACATTCATACGCATAAACACATGAGCAGAGGCTGGTACACACAGCGTCTTCCCCCATCATCCTGTATGGCGTCTCTGTTGATCCCCTCAGCCTAAGCCCGTCTGCGTTGACTTCGCTCTCAACCCAAACAAGCCCACGTTTGGAGAAAAAACTGCTCCAATAAATTTAAATTGTAACTAACACCGGGCGCGGGGGAGGGGGTGCAGGGGGGGGGCACGCCTGTGTTGCTCTGTCCTCTGACCTTGGGAGCCCCATTAGGCAGCGTCAGTAGGAACAAGAGAGGAAACGGAGCAGCCTGAACTCCTGCTTTTCTCCCCGTCTTACTCAGGGACAGCACACGGCGTAGCACGTTTCCCACACACTGTTGGGGTTCACCTTTGACATCTGACCCTGCCGAAAGAGGAGAGGGCGGGGGGTGGGATGCAAGAGGGAGGGGGACCACCCAGTTAGGCTCTTAGGGCCCCTGCCCCCCCCTGAGGATTGGAACGCAAAGGGGTGCGGGGCTAAGGCTTTAAGGAGCATTACAGCAGGTTAGGATAGTGAGAGAAGATCTGAGGAGGATGGTGAGGAGGATGGTGAGGAGGATGGTGAGGAGGATGGTGAGGAGGATGGTGAGGAGGATGGTGAGGGGAGGATGGGGATGGTGAGGAGGATGGTGAGGAGGATGGTGAGGAGGATGGTGAGGAGGATGGGAGACGGCCGCGGCGGAGGAAGTGCTTTGACAAACGACCACAGAAACAAACTGACAAACACAGACCAGAGAAATCTGGTAAAACAGCTGGTTGTCGATCTTGGATCTGTCTGACCCGGGTGTGGTTTCATTTCAATTTTTATTTGATTTTTTTTTAATAATTTGTGCCGCCCTGTCAGATGACATCACTGATTGATGTCAGAGAGGACTGCTGCTGCAGGGCAGAGTGACAACATTAGTTCAGGGGTGAGAAGCAGTGATGGAGTAAAGATAGACTCCGTCTGTTGTCGGTTGTAAATCTCTCCTTTATCACCCACTAAATAACCAGTCCTGGGACGTTCACAGGGGCAGGAGAGTGGCCCAATAAAGCTGCCACACTGCACCACAGCGTCACCACACTGTAAAGCTTCACTGGACTCACTGAGGCAGAAGGGAAGTCACACTGGATCAGTTTTCACTATCTTTATTATTTATTTTTTTACAGAGAGTATCACTTTTATCTAACTACTTCAATTCTTACAGTGTGTGCCAAAGTTAAAGTAAATAAAAAATAGTAAAACTGTATATACATATATATATAGTGTGCCATTAAAAATGTTTCCAATTTTACATCATTGTTCCGAAAAATAACATTTATTTTTGCAACTAAATTTTCTTT